CTTTTGTTAAATCTACTAAAAGTAAATGCACTTCTCGAGATCTCAGTGTTCTTTTTTCGAGTATTTGGGATAAGCACAAAATACTATCTATTGTGGATCGTCCTGCTCTGAATCCGTTTTGTTCTTCTGATTCAGAAGGACGGTATTCTTCGCATATGCGTTCTTTTATAATTCTTCCCTATAATCTGCTAAGCGTGCTCGTAAGAGTTATACTCCGATAGTTATTGCAATCTTCCTTATTTCCTTTTTTATGGATAGATGTAATCCATCCTTCTTTCCAACTTTGTGGAGCTGGTTCTCCGTGCAAGTGCCTATTGAAAACTTCTGTTAGTATCTCGAATAGTTTGTCGGTTCCATTTTTTATTAACTCTGCATATATCCCCTCTGGACACGGAGCACGTCCATTTTTCAACAATGATACAGTTTTTTTTAGTTTATTCGATGTTAGTTGTTGGTGGCTCTCCTTGAATCATGACTTCAAGTTGTTCTATGTTTTTGTATTCCGGTGTTTCTTACTAACCGTGTTTTATAGTGTTTTTCCCATTTTTTAGCTTTAGTATGGCTATTTGTTCTGTTTTGTCGGATCTGATGTTTTTTATAAACCTCCAGGATTATTTTGATTTGTGGCCGCCAATGTACGTATCTAATTCCTGACATTTTTTAATCAAAAGGAATGAAAACACAAAAATATTTATATTATACGAGGGTATACATAGTATTGGACATACTGTGCCCCCTTACCATTTTGAATTCAATCCCATTGAATATATTGGGGAGATGTGGAAAACTTGATAGGATAACTATAGTGGACGTAAGTGACGCAGAAGTTTTGGAAACATGACAAGAAACAGTCAATACTGCTACTCCTGCAATTTTGGAAAAAGTGTGCGGGAATGTAAAAAGTTAATAGAGGAATGTAGCATGCGTGAAAATCGCATCGATGTAATTAACCCAGTCATCATTAACAATCCAAATGAAGATACCGACGACAGTGATTATGAGTATGCATCTAATTATTTAATAAACTGTAAGGTAACATGTTTTAATTTTCTTAATAAGAAATATTTTGAGTGTTATGGTTATTATCTTATCGGTAAATACTTATGACTATCATTTAGAAACTGTAAAATTTGTGATTTTCTTTTATTTTTGCACTAATAACTGTATTTCCCTAAATTAATGTAAAATACATTATCACTTAAAACCGTATTTTTGTTTGTCTTTCGATAGTGCTTCAAATAATTGGAGAGTTTGCTATTGACTTCCTTAATACAAGGTACCGTTTACGTCAAAGCTTTCATCCGTAATTCAAATTAGTCTCAAATTCGTGAAATATACTGTACTACAATTTGGCCAAGGCCAGCAAGTTATATCATTGTTTCAAAAAGGCGACTAATAGCATTGCCAAAAACTGTAAAGATATCAGTCTACTGAATGCAATATATAGGTATCTATATAAAATATATTTAACATATATAAAATATATTTAAAAATTACTAATAGATTAAAATATTACAGAAACCATTACTAGGAAATAATGAAGGGACGCCTTACAGAATATCTCTAAAGACCATGCAAAAATGAGTAGCGCTAGAATGACGTCCAGATGCTACAGCATAACATGTCACCGAAGACTTGATAACACTGAAATCCCCTCATATCTGAATCCTTTTGATACTATATTATCAAATCGTATCTTTAGGGAAGCTCTGTGCCTTCTGTTTTTGTTGTTCTTTTTAATTGTTTGATTGATGTGTTTTTTTTGTATAAATTTACTTGATAACAGTATTTATAAATCTGAAAGAATTCTATTATGGTTGATGTCAATTACTATCCGTCAAGGTGTTTACTGCAAATACGGCATTTACTGTATTGAACACGACACGATTATTTGTGATTATTTAGGAGACATTTTTTAAAAAGACTTTTACCACAGTAAAGTATCAAAAGCCTATGAAAATAAATGATCAAGATGAGGTTGGACGAAAGAGATACCCGCATTAGAGCTCCTGGACTAGGATATTCACCTATGAAGTGATCTTAATTATTTTTCTATTGATGAACATCTTAAAGTAATGGAAGAATGTCAAATAATTGCTTGATGTTGAGAACTTTCCCGAAGAATCTATGTATTTACCGCAAATGTGAGAGTATTCATTGGATTTTATAATTTTTTAATTAGGTTTTTTATAGTAAGACAATATCGTATAACTATCGGTAATTTATGATATTCTGCTAGTTCCTCTAAAATGGTTAAACATTGTTTTTGAACAATTTCCAACAAGTTCCACTGCAAAAAAAAAACATTCAAATATTTAGCTTTTATATTTATACCCAATATTTTGTATACCTAATTGCCGAAAACTGGAACACATTCACTGTTTTTGATTGTTTCATTTTTAATAAGGTTTTTAGAGACTAATGTGATTCTGTTATGATAAACAGAAAATGTAAATAATTTGAACTACATAATAATTCTCTTCTTCATTCTTACAAGGTGCCTATTCTATCTTTACCATCTTCTAAATAGTCACATCGACGTTTTTTAGTTTTCTATTCTCAGTAAAAACATATATGGGAGCTGATCGGACGACAATCCCCTGGTCGGAACGACAAAAAACGTAAAAAACAAATATAAAAAATATGACATGGAACGTCGGAAAGACGAAAATTTGAAATAGAAAATATAAAATCATATACGAGAAACTAACTAGATATGAGAAAGTGGAGACACTATAGGAGAAGAACTTAAAGTACTGGAATGAAGTTAATGGGACTATATTAGAACAATATCTAAACCAAAAGGAACAAATAAAACAGTATGAATAACAGACGAAATACAAACAAATAAAAAAGTAAAAGAAACATGATCAAAGGAAAACTCTAAATAAATAAAAAAAATAGAGGAAAAACACGATACGTTTAATCTACATAAAAAAACCCGCAATTTCTTAGATTAGAATATGACTCAATTATAAAATATAGGTGATATCAATTAATGCAACTGTGAACAGAGATTTAAATACAAGAGAAAGCTTCTACGAACACCTGCTGAGCACAGTAAACGAAATTCCACAGAGTGCAAATATGTTTATTATGGGTGATTTTAAGGCCCGTGTTGATGATGACATCGTACCAGATATAAAACAACGATATAACGAAGATGAAATGAAAACTGTGGTCTTCTGACGAACTTCTCTGTTACGCAGATGATGCAATATTGATAGCAATTGATAGCCTAAAATGAAGATAGCCTTCAAAGACTAGTTCAGGGATTTAATATAAGAGCAAAATTATTTACCACGACGATTTTAACTCAGGAAACTACAAGAATAGTAATCAGTAAAGAACAAGTAAGACGTAAACTGATGTAGATTGAGTAAGCATGAACCGAATGGGCAAACAAAATTGCTTATTTAAAGGAAGACGAAGAATATGACGTTCCTAGTGGTATTGGTATTAACTAATATTCAAAGCCAAATTGAAGGCAAGCGTAGTCGAGGCAAAAGAAAACACAGTGGAAAAAAATTTACGTAAATGATACAAAATTACCACAAAATCATTATTCCCAGCACTTGCAGATAAAGTAAAATCTCAATGCAAATATAATATTGGAAAATTTTAGGATTTCACATATACTCAACTTGAATGACAACTGGGATCACTTTGGATAAATCCAAATTGGAATGTCGCTGTTCTTCAACATTTTTAATCACGAATTGTCTTCGAAAAGTGATACTATCATACGATGATGCGTATCTAATGGATTCATCGAATTACCGATTGTTTGGACAACAATTGATAAAGACCAGTAGCTGCTCCGCATAATTAAATGCACCAAAATGCATATTTAGGTGAAACACCTGCAAAGCACCAAAGAACGCAGAATATAACACCACATCCTAATTGGACTGCAGAACGACTGATAACTTCTATAATGCGGATACGATATACTACAAGAAAAAGTACGAAAATATATGACGTTAGGTCCAGAAATACCATAAATAAAGAAGTTAATATTACTTCGCAGGAAATTCATAAAACACTTTAAACGCTGCAGGTAAAAAATTAACTACTGAAATATTGTGAAACAGCAATGACGAAAGAACTAATAAATTATAACCCATCATAAAATACCGGAAAAATGAAGACTAGTCAACTTAACGTAACTATTCAAAATCTGTTTATCTGGACGATATGACACTTTACAGTTTGAGCATGTTTTATTTTATTCCAAAAAATCAGCTCCTTACGAAATTTATTTACCAAGTTCTGTTCCACCCGTGTCCTTCATACAGGAAAAAACTTGTCTAAGCTAATGAACTGTGTTTTCCAAACAATCGAAATATATTTCAATATAATTTAGCTTCTTAGCTAAATAGAAAAATTATTTCTATTATACAATTAATTCTGTATAAATTTACTACACGCCCCACTGCACATTATTAATCCCCAAATCACATTATTCAAAAAGGGCGCAGCCCAAAATCCCTATATTCAACAAAATGAGCTTAAAGTACCGCAACAATCCAAATTTCGTTAAATCCTGTGTACAGTCTCACCCCAATTAAACCAAAATTTTCCAGCTGGTTAGCAAATGCAGAAACGTCAAAATAGGTAATTGTCAAAGTGAATACCTTAAAATTAGCAAGCTATTTCTATTGACAATTCTGTACAAGGTCTTTGTAGTTAAGCCGAATCTTTGAAGAATGTAGATCGTACCTACACTCGAATATTTTGATAATAGAAGAAAATAAACCAGGTAAAACCACACACAAATTTTATAAAGACATGTAGATTGGGTCAATACAGCATGACAGGTAGTTAGAAGCAATAAATTTTGTAGAAAAAATATTACTCTATTTAACAGATAATTATTAAATTAATTACATATTGATTAATGTATCAACCCCTATTTGTTACAACTTTTTGCAAAAGTGTTTAACCTACTATAAAAATTATTTTGAACTTATTTTATAAAATGTCAATAAATTACATACCCATTTTTGACGTTTAAATCAATTTGACGTTAACAGAACTAACACCTAAAAAATGTAAACACAAATCGTAGACACTTAAATCGCTGAACAAAGTTTCAACCACACCGACCAAAGCAAACATACAAGAATAACTGAGACGAACTGAGTCACTGAGCCGGAGAATACAACTACACGACAGCGTTGTCGTTAGCTCTATAAATACGTGCAACTTCCCTTTTCCGTTTATGCAATTTGCGAAATATCACGTAATGTGAGTTAATAGGACAGAAAGAGTTGAAAGGATTAACCTAATTTCTTTGTCGAAAATTACATTATATCCGGTACAGTTTTACTTCGGTCTTCAGAGATGAAAACGCCACTGACACTCTAAAAATTATACAAATCTTGCTGCGAAAATTAATTTTGGGATCCCAAAAAATATGCAAAACTCCTACTTCTGGTGCAGGCTTCCCCTAAAACTCCCGTTCGTATATGAGGAAACGGAAAAAATCGATTTACCAAGAATCTGTAGGTATCTGAAAAAATGGCGCTAAGATAACTTTGAACAAAAATATTTGATAGAATAATATTTTTGTGTACAATAGATTATTCTCTTAGAAACAACGTTTGAAATGACCGGCGGTTTTAAATGTCAGTTACGCGCGCAAAATCCATTTTAAATAAAATTTCTATGAGCTCAACGGTAAAAATTCGATATCTTTTGATCAGATTCTCCTATCGACAAAAATCAAAATGCATTTTAAAGATGAAGAGTACAGCTTTCGTATGCAGTTTTTCTATTTTGACGCAAATAAAGTCAGTTTTAATAAAGGTTTTAAATAAATAAACGTTGCACGATTTTTGCCATTTTTTCGATTATATATATATATATATATATATATATATATATATATATATATATATATATATATATATATATATATATTTAGGCGGCACACGCCCTTCCGGTAGGGATCTATGGAGGAGTATCACCGAGCCGCAAGCCCTTATCTCTTGCCGTACTGCTCCACCATAGGCCGATTAGATACTAGTATATTCTAGACTAAACCGCAGATTCATTTAGAATTAGCCTTTTTGTTTTCTGTACACCGAGCTACGGATTGAACTGACGATTTTCATAAGATCAATAAAATGTATCACTTTCATTGACCAGTCACTATGGAATTTCCATTTTTACAGCCTATTCTTTCACATTACAAACGATCTAAAACATTTGAAACTACTTCTTTTTGATAGCACGAGTACGTTTTTTAAAACTACACAGCTTTAGATAGTTCAGATACTTTTACCAAATGCCATATTCGTGAAAGCATTTTCACTCACGTGTGAGATTGTTTGTTATGAGAAAGTTTAAATTCAGCGTTTTTTAGGCATACTTCATATTTGTTGCCAAAACAAAAATCGGAATTTCATGTTGTGTATATCTTTTGAAGGTTAGGCTGTATCATTGGAAATTTCAAAGCGCCCGGTCAGTGGAAGTGATAAATTTTATTAATCTCATGAGATCGTAAAAAATGACAAAATCGCACAACACTTATTTAATTAACAGCTTGATAGAAGCTGACTTTACTTGTAGCAAAATGCAAAAAATGCATAGGAAAGCGCACTCTTCACTAAACCACACCTTGATTTGAATTTTTGAAACATTTGAAAAAGATATCGAATTTTTACCATGGAGGTAATACAAATTTTATTTAAAAAAATTATTTGGCGCGTATAACACACTCAAATTCCCCGGTCGCTTCAAGCGTTGTTTCTGAGCTACATTTCTTGCTTGAAATAATTTGTACTACGGCGTGCAGACTCTTTGTAAATCGATGTTTTTCATTTTCCCAAAAATTGGTGTTCCAAAATTGACATTCTGAGCACAATTCAGCTTGTTCGTCTCGTTTCTAGAGATCAAATCTCTGACAACTGGAATAATAGGTATAGAAAAGATACAAGGCTGTTATTGATTATATAGAAAATCGTATAGATTTTCATCATGTGATTGCTCCATGTAGTTATTTAACACGTTGTTGGACAATTAATGATTTTAAAAATCACTTGATATTTTTGCAAAAAGAGTTTAAAAATGAAAGTTTAAGTTTGTATAAATATGGCTCAATTCAATGAAAAATCCTGTAGGGCTGGGTTTTTTGTTTAACATAAGTTTTGCATTTATAGCTGGTTTCTCCCTACCTTCGAGTATTGTTTGCATCGTAAATCCTAAAATCTGTAAAACACAAAAATGGCGAAGCAAAAATTGTGACTAAAGAAACAGATAAAACTCCAAAAACGTCGTCCGGTTCTCAGCCAGGATACTAATTTTACAAATACAAACAACACCAATAAATGTGAATGTATTACCTACAAGCATATGTACATACACAAGACTATGAAGAAGAATAAATTGAAAAATTCGATCACAATTTAGAAAACATACCTTGTTTACGTATAACAGATCTGTCAAATTCAGAGAAAATATTAAATTAATAACAAAATAGAATTAAATCATTTGATAGTAAATTTAATTAGTGTACAAACTAAATAAGATGTTTAAAAATAATAATTGTATTTATATGAAACTATTTTAAAACAAGAAATGTTATAAAAATTTAAAAAGATGATTCAATATTGTTATTAATTGGATGAAATTTAAATTTTGACAATCGTTGCAAATCAAATCTTTTATGGACAGATATTTTTAAAATTTTTTAATTCTAATTTAACGTCTTTATTTTATAATTTATTTTTCACGCAGTTTTTAGTTTAAACCTACTTAGAATAAATATATGATTACTAGAAACGAATTGATCGAGAGATTTGAATCGAAGTGAAGAACCGCTATTTCGTGACGCTATCCGTGACACCATCCGTGACACCGCCATCTTATGTCGCTAGTTCCGTGGCGCTCGCTCCCAGCATTTTACTATAAAGACAAAAAGAGTAATACAACGCGTATAGAAGCTTCACTTCAAAAATAGCTTTAATTTGATATAAAAAACATGCATATACGTCATAAGCAGCGTATTAAAATTAATTATTATTAATTGAATTAAAACTAGTTGCGACCATTTTTTGACTGACATGCTGTTATCAATGTATTCTCCTATAATTAAATGTATATAAAAATGTGAGTTTGAGTAACTACGTTATGAACGTAGTGATCTTACAGTGGGATCTTGTACTATAAGTGTTATTTATTAATAACAATTGCCGGCCCCTTTTGAAAAATAAAAAAAATGCATTTGAACTTGGAAAAATATATTTTTCCAAGTTATATTTTATAAAAATTTATTATGTTTGATGCATTAGAAGTGCAAAAAAATTAGTCGGTTTATGCTCTGTTTATGGAGGTAAACTGCTCGTCTAGTTATTGTCTATTAGTTCAACTGTTTTGTCAAATTGGATAATAAACTGTCACAGTGCATCGCTTTTTGGAATCCTTTCCGTGAACTAGTTATTTTATTATTTGCGTCTCGGATATATCTAATCTGTCTAAAAATTTGTGCTTTCTTTTAAAAATAATCAAAATGTTTGGCTGGTTTATATGGAGTCCTCATAATTATTAGTATCCAGTTTATGATGTAGATTTTCATATGTTTCTGCTTTATTTGTTGATACAGCTACTTTCGCTTTGTTTTAGCGTCCACAATTTGATTTTTTGATCTCTATCAATTTGTAACACTAACAATCACATAATTCGTTTTATTTGGGTCATTAGATTATTTTTTGCAAATTCTTTTATTATAAGCTGAAACTCGTAGATAAAACGCGGCAACGTCGCTTTTATAAGCGCCGGTCGCCGGTAAGCCAAATGGTTTGGATTATCGGATTCCGCATGGTCACAGAACGTGCATTTATCCCCCACCATCGGTTTAGTTTGCTAGAGAGCGTAAATTCGTATAAAGCGGTAATTCCAATTGAGACTATAATCACATTTTACGTACTTAGGGAGCCTTTGCCGCTCGCATAGAATGCGGCGCAGCACAATTGGGCCAATAGTAAGACTGACAAATTGCATAGTGGGAAGGAGGGCGGGACGAACGTTTGATTTGTCCGGAGAATATCTTTTTGCTTAATCTCTAAAGTAATTTTACGTTAATAATAATCATGTAATGCACGATATTTTTCGTTAATTAACCAACAATATATTCACCATAAAAATAAGAACATGCCCGTTAGGAAAATAATAATTTTGGTTTAGAAAAACATTCATGCGCGGTTTATTAAACTGTAAATTACAGTTTATTATTATTATTTTAAATATAAATAAAAATAATGGATAGGTATTTCGTGGCAATTAGAAATTTCCAACCTATATAGATACAAGATAAAAATCTAAAATTCAGACGAACTGATATCGTTTCTGTTCAAGATTGTTATGCATCTATGGTATATATATATATATATATATATATATATATATATATATATATATATATATATATATATATATATATATATATACCATATATATATAATATATATATATATATATATATATATATATATATATATATATATATATATATATATATATATTATATATATATATATATATATATATATATATATATATATATATACGTAATCACCTCATATCAGTATCTATGAAAATTAAATCTTCATCAGCTGCAGTATTTCATATCAGCATCAAATAAAATATTTTCCTACATTTAATAGTGTTTGGCAATCCTCTATTCTTGTGAAAGACTAAATGCTTTTCTATTGCCCCAGATATCAAAACAACAAGCGATATTTCCTAGGAAAAGACAGCTAATCTAAAAAACTTTTGAATTTGAGGGGCTGCATAGTCTCTCCAATTTCGTTAATATCTACATCGCAGTGATGTACCGGACCTCCTGGACACACCCGAAATATTAACATATATTGATTTTATTGGATGTTGGCGATCAATAAGGCTATCATGGTTTTGTTGATTGCTCTGCGTAACACCTCCGCGGATGTTATCCCAAAACATTGTCGGAGGTTTTTTCACCACCACTAGATACGACGGCGATCCGGTCCTCTCCTGTTAAATACTTTAGCCTGCATAACGAGTTGAAGATATCGATATTTTTTTCGTTTAAGTTTTCGACAGTACCTATTTCGATAACGTTTCAGATTGTGTTTTATATGAGCATTGAACACTTACAACTCACTGTTTTTTTTAAATCTTTTAAATATACGTTGTAAACATATAGTAATAATGTTTGCCCTTAATGAGAACTTTCGGAGGAAGTAGAGATAAAAAGAGACGCAAGGCAAGGTTGCATACTCTCCCCCTTATTGTTCAATCTATATTCGGAAGAAATAATTAAAAAATCACTCGAAAATGTAACAATTGGAATAAAAGTTAACGGCAGACCCATCAACAATATCAGATATGCCGATGATACTATACTAATTGTAGAGAATATACAAGATCTACAGACACTTTTAGATAATGTAGTAAATGCTAGTGAGGAAAGCGGACTAACGCTTAATGCTAATAAAACAAAATTTATGACAATTTCCAAAACACAACAAGACATTTTAAACATAAGAGGAGTTCCAATAGAAAAAGTAAAAAAATACAGATATCTTGGTACGATTATTAATGAAAATAACGAGTATACAGAAGAAATAAAAATGAGAATTGGCCAAGCTAGAGCAACATTTAATAAGATGAGAAAAAGTATTATGCAGCAGAGACCTTAGTTTACAACTCAAAATAAGAATATTACGTTCTTATGTGTTTTCGGTGCTGCTGAAGCATTCGAGATGTGGACCTACCGAAGAATATTAAAAATAAGTTGGGTAGACCGAACAACAAATGTTGAGGTCCTCAGAAAGATGACAAAGGAAATGGAAATCATGAATACGATTAATATAAGAATTCAATTTCACTTTGATGCCTCCAACATAGAAGAAGTAATCATTTAAGTTTCCTTTTATTGAATTCAATAATTAAAAAAAAAAACTCTAGCAAAGTTAAGTAGATAGATAGTCTTGGTTAACATACTCTAAAAAGGAAGATGAAGTTGCAGATGAAAGCTAAGTATACTTCATATTAATTTTATAATGAAGCTTTTGCAGAAGGGACAGGTAATTACGAAAACTGTGGAGCGTTATTTACGAGTTCTTTTAAAGGATGGAAATGCGCAATTGAAAAATTTAATATTCACAATAATCTTCAATATCATCGAAACAGCTTAATAAGAGCACATAAGTGCATATCAAGTTAGCACAAAGAACGTAGATAATACAACTACTTAATTAAATGGTCAACTAGCAAAAGAACAAGAAGAAAATAGAAAATCTTTAAGACCTATAACAGAAACAATTATATTTTGAGGTGAAAATGGATTTACTGTAAGAGGCGATGCAGAGTTTGGAGTTTTATTAAGCTTTAGGGCAAACTTTGGTGATGATAATTTAAACGAACACATTTAACAGATAATTCGGATAAATTCAACTATTACTCAAGAAAAAAATTGTTGAAAAGATAAAAGAAGCAGAGTTCTTTTCATTCTTGTGTGACGATCCACAGTTGTACAATGATAATTGAGGCGCATAGTGAAAAGTGGCCCAACTAAAAAAATGATATTTGAGTTAATAACACCAAGCGTTAGTATTTGTACTAATCTATCGTGTGCAATAGTGACCCACGTCGATTTGATTAAAATGCCGGTAGAGGAATGACCAATGTAACTTTGGAGTATTATGATTTGTTGACAAACGGTCGTGCACGTGCAGTAATATCCCAACGTTCATGCCTGTCGATGTGTTTCAGTTTCTCGTGTGCACTAGTGGCCTATCTCTTAACCTTAAAATTATTATTTGATTTTTAACAGCTCCTGTACGCTTTAATTGTTTGTGTTTAGTTATTTAGAAGTTGTATTATGGATATTCCATCCACATCAGGTAAATATATTATTCATATAATTTTCTTAAGTAATTAAAAGTAGATATACTTGAATAAGGTGTTAAAAAGTATATATTAATACACGACTGAATTATTGTAATTTATCTCTTTCAGTCGGTCAGATAGCCAGGCGGGCTGGGCGGCCGGATTCTCATTCGCTTCACTGCGAGTGGTTCAGCGGATGTGAGTTCGATCCCCAGCTCGGTGTACAGAAAACAAAAAGGCTAACGCAGCAGTTTAAAATTCTAAATGAATCTGCGGCTTAGACTAGAATATGCTCGTGTCCGGCCTATGGTGGAGCAGTACGGCAAGAGATAAGGGCTTGCGGCTCGGTGATACTCCTCCATAGATCCCTACCGGAAGGGCGTGTGCCGCCTAACTACCGGGTATATATATATATATATATATATATATATATATATATATATATATATATATATATATATATCTTTCAGGCAAAAGCAATAACACTTTTGATAACAGTGATGTCTCTAGTATTGATGAGACGTATGCAGATTCAGCTTCCAGTTACAATCCTTCTGATATTGAAGATTCATTAAGTCAAAAAAGTAAAGGTATTTTATTATTATTATAATCGTTTGCAAGAAACTAATATACATTGTTTTAGGTGAAAATGAAAATGTATTGGTGACTGATGAGAAATTACAAAGCAGTTTTCAGTCTAACGGTATTGCGAATCCTGGAGAAATTCTAAGAAGTATGAAACATGGTCCTCGCCGAAAATTTGCAAATAAAAGTCAATGGCAACGTAATATAAGAAAAAAATTACGAAATATACGTGGACGTGACTATACAAACATTAAGGGTAATGTACTTGCTGCCAAACAGTTTGATGCATCCGACTGTCGTTGTTTTAAAGAATGCCATAAACTCATTATACTTCAACAGCGTGAAACTATTTTTCAAGATTTTTATGAACTCGCCAATTATGATTTACAGATATCCTACTTATGTGGCCAAATCAAACTTACTTCAAAATTAACTAATCCTGCTCAAACTGACTCCAGAAAATACACAAGACAATATTATTTGACAAGAGACAGGGCTAGATATTCCAGTTTGCAAGGAGTTTTTTAAAAAAGTCTTGAGAGTTTCAGATGGTCGACTTACACTCGTTTTGCGTAATAAAGAGCAAGGTGGCACACCTTCTAAGGATAAAAGAGAAAAAAAGGACCCTCATAATAAAACAAGTCAAGAAAAACTTGACAATATTTTTCATTTTATTTCGAGGTTTCCAAAATATCAGTCACATTATTCTAGAAAAAAAATCAAAATCTTTCTTATTTAGCTACCACTTTAAATCTGTCAACTATGTATTCCTAATACAAACAAGAAACAAATGATCCTGCATCACAATCTGTTTTTAGGTATGTTTTCAGAAAAAAATTTAATTTAACTTTTCATGCTCCTGTATCTGACAGTTGTAGATGTGACGAATTTGAACAAAAAATAAAAACAGAAACTTCTGAAGTTACTTTGGCAAGTTTAAAGTTAGAAAAATAATTGCATCTTCGAAAGGCAGAAAGCGCACGTGCTGGAATGGCATTGTATTCGGAATTGGGTAAAATAGCTGAAAACATTGTCACTGTAATAGCGTTTGATCTCATGTCTAAATAACCTATACCTCATCTTTCAACAGATGTATGTTAATACAAAAGGCAGTTGTGGACATACTGCTTAGGCATCCACAACTTGTCACGTGATCAGGCCCACATGTACGTTTGGCATGAAGCCATAGCATCTAGAGGATCTCAAGATCTCAATGTCAAAAATTATGTTAACACGTCAAAATTAATTATGTATAGTGACCAATGCGGAGGGCAGAATAGGAACATTAAAATGTCTCCATTTTGTAATTATATTATACAAAACAAGATATCAAAAGTGCAGCAAATTGACCATACATTTTTGGTGTCAAGGCATTTATATTTAGCATGTGACCGTGACTTTGGGCTCATAGAGAAGAACAAAAAAACTTTTAATGATATTTATGTACTCGGAGATTGGACCAGAGTGATTAGGACAGCAGTAGTAGAAATGACCAGCAACGATTGCGTGAGTCGTGTTCCATTAGAGAAAACCATTACTAATCGTAAAAAGACTGTCGAGGGTGAATTGGTGAACTGGTTAAAAATGAAATGGTTGTAATACTCTTTAACTAAACCACTACAATTGTATTATAAAAAATCTAACAATCCGGAGGTTATTTTTAAACATATAGATTACGAAGCGCAATACATCTACGTTTATTGGAAAACTTTCACTTTTATACCCTAAAGGCAGAGACATTGAAGCAGCTAAATTTAGCAATTTACAAGATTTGTTAGTGTATGTACCACCTTATTTACATAACTTTTATAACAATCTAAATGTTACAAATTTAGATCAACGTATACAAAATAATGATGATGGTGAAGATAATGTGTTTTACGCTATAGAAGATTCCGAACAAATGATGGAATAAATGTTAATAAAAAAGATTAGTTAAGGGCATTGTTTTGGCTTTTATTCATTTTTCGTATACAAGTATGGTAAAAATATATTTATGTAAAAACACACAGTATTTTTTGTATTTTTATAATGTTAGCGCAAGAGTGGCCAACAATTTTTTTTTCAAAAAGATTTTGAAAATTTTACTTTTTTGTGATATTAATGTAAAATGAAATTTACTAACTTAATTAAAGGTGTTGAAATTGAAAACTAAGGTTAATAATTCGTGGAGAAACAGAGAGCGGTCAATTTGAATAAAACTTAAATCGTCTTTTTCTCAAAATCAGTTTTTACGAGTTAGGCCACTCTTGCACTATGCGCATCAATTGTGTATTAGATATATTAATTTTACTGGTAATAAACCAAAAGTACGAGATTTTGTAATATTTATTGCTATGTGTGAGTTAACTGGCGAAAACAGCAAAATTTATTTTAGAATTTATTACGAAACTTGGATTGGATATGAATGATTGTGTAGGCCAAGGATACGATTATGCCTCTAATATGATTGTCAAGTATAAAGGTACGCAAACCACCCTTGTACCTTTGTACTCATTTGTAATTTACGTTCATTGTGAAGGCCACAGATTCAATCTTTTATTGTCCATTATTATGTTAGTGACTAATATAAGAAACTGTATTAAGTACCTAATTAATTTAAAAAAATGCTCATGTTGACAAGACTCTAAAGATACAATTCAAGTTCACATTCCAGATTGTAAAAATAAAAGGCTTAGTAGCTTAGTAGGTTTATATAGCGTTACGCTAGTTTGTTGAACTTTTTTGAGTTGTTTGAAGTATTCCATTACCTCGCTTATTACGCTTCAATTCATCGCTTCGCATTATCGCTTCAAAGTATTTCGTACGATTTCGTTGGTGCTATTAAATGTAGTAAATATATTATCTCTACTCTAGAAGATTTTTGAAAAAGATCCTGAAATTGAATTTGAAAAACTCTGTATTTCTGCTTCTAAATTCTATAGATATTTTTAGTATTGAGCTTCAAATTCCAAGGATTAATAAGAGACAGAGTTGTAGAGACAATCATCCAATAAATTCAATTAAAAGAAAGATTTATTAACAATAAAGACATTGTGACTGTATTACAAACACTCCTTGCTGGTTTTGCATCCCGTGATAAAGCTAACCAGTTAACAAAGCGATCTCTATATTTTGTTTAACACAGATGGTAGAACTGTCACAGAAACGAATATTTAATATGAGGTAAAAAAGAATAAAAACTTTGAAGACTGATACAGAAGTTTTGGAGGTTTTGGAATTTTGCGATATAAGGTTTTCTCCAAACATCAATAGACGTCTTAGAACTTTAATTACTATTCCGCTCACTACAACCAGTGTTGGGTGCCAATTGTCAACTACGAAGCGAGTTAAAACCTTTTGAGGAATAGAACCGGCAATGAAAGTGCTACCGGACTTGCCCTACTGTCGTACCACTGGAATATTGACGTCAATTCAGACAATGTTTTAGATATATAGGCATAACAGTAGAAAAATCAAATTACACTTCACAATTACAATTCACTTTTATATTCAGGTTATAATATGCTATTATTTTTGTCACCCCAAGATTTCAAATAACGCAATTTAAAATAATACCTATATTAAAGTTGTGAAAAACATAATTTATAAATATTTATCTATTATATATTTTTTTGATTAAAAGATTACTAATTCTTTTACTTACAAATACTGTTTTTCAAATACTATTATATTGATTAATAATATAATACTTACAAAAATACTTTATTAGGACTATTGTATTGTCATTATTTTGCTGAGCAAGCTTTTTCGTTAACAACAAACTAGACTTAAAAAATAAAGAAAGTAAGTAGGTATTCTTGTTATAAAAAAAATTATAATATTTTGTCCAAAATTGAACCTAACAGTGAACAAGAAAGGAAAAAGAATTGCATTTATAAAATACCTTGTGAATGCGATCAGTTTTATTTAGGTGAAAAATCAAGGCCATTAAATGTTAGAATAAGTGAACATCAATCTTATATTAAAGATAGAGAATTTGATAGATCTCAAATATGTAAACACGCATGGGATAATGAACATAGGGTTCAATGGAATAATTCAAATGTAGTCCGAAAAGAAACGGATGGTGAAAAAAGAAAAATCAAAGAAGCGGCTCTAATTATGCTAAATGAGGCCAATTGTGTCGCAAATTCCTCGGCAGAATGTAGTAGGATCTGGTTACCAATATTGAAAGAGGAAGTTATTAATAAGAAAATACCAGTATTAGTAAGTCAGTAACATATAGAGGATACACCATTTATGTTTTTTAAATAACGAAACATATAAAATCAGAGTTTTGGTGTTTATTGAAGGTAAACTAAATGCACGAACAAATACTTACCATGTCGGGACAGTATTATGAGGTTTTTTCCTGGTTTTTCCCTCATAATTTACTATATAATCAGTAACAGGAGAATTTTACTTTCATCATGGCATATTATTTGACAAATTACATGCTATGATTTTTTCTGACTGATATTCTCAAGTTAAAGTTGATTTCATGTAATCGAATGAACTATCTTACAAGTAAAGTCGTCCCAGCAGTGCAACTCAACAATATTAGCAATATCATTTTAAAGTCGTCTACTTTAAAATGCATAATGTATGTCTGAATTGTCAATATAAATGAGTCAGATAAAATTAAATTATTAGAAGAATTTTTCACTATGTAACAAAAAACAAAATTTGTTTAATTTACTGTTTGTACTTTGAGAACGATTTCCGAAGTGGAAATTGAAACGTCAATAAACGTATTTTTATCCTTAATTATGGCTTATTCCCAGTTAAATAGTAATTAATTATAAAAGTAATTATTAAAAAAAATTAAATAATTCGTTGGTAGTTTGAATTTCTAATCGTTTTGTAGAAAGCGGGAAGTAAACTTAAACGAGTGGACACCCCTCGAAATAAAATCCTGGCTACGTCACTGCTACAGAGAATATAATATTATGGAAAATGTACCTGTTTTATATTGTGTGTAGGATTATTAAAATATTTAGTAGTTTTTAAACAACCACATTCTTACAAGTATATTGACAAGTATGAGGTGTGTGTCTGGATGACATTTTGACAATTATGGAGAGTGACATAGTGTTGCCACAACTATCAATATACGTTACTAGTTTACAACAGTACCAGACGGATAGAGGAGTGGAATATCGATTGGACAAACAATAAGTAACCTAAGATATGTCGATAATACTTTATTAACCGCTTCAGAACAAGAAGAAATTGAAAACATAAAGGGTCTACTGAAGAGAAAAACCAGTATAGGCTACAGCCAAATAGAAGTAAGATAAAAATCACTAACTATATTCAATACATTAAAGAGATTGGAGGCCTCAAAGTAGTGTCCCGAATAAAGTACGTGCTTCCTATCGGCAAGATACGGGCCGCAATACATTGGTTTATAGTGCAGTCCTTACAGTAGGGATCCTGACCTATACAGAAAATGCAAGCGGGTGTGGGGTAATACTGCACTTTGGTTGCATTGGTGTGTGTTGGCTAAATCGTGCAGGATATGATGTCCGAAAATCTTTTCAGGTCATAATAATGAATAGACCTCCAATATAATCAAAATTATACTGAAATGATGACATATCCTGAGGTAAAATATTTCGGAAGCAAAATTAGCCTCCGTTCGGATTTCTGGCGAGGACTATCTTAGAGGGAACACCATTACAGGTTAGGAAAATTAGGATAGGGGAATCTTAAAAATTTTACAGGTAAGAATATGTCGTTAGTAGACGCGCTTAAAAGAAAGAGAGTACAAAATTCTTGTAGGTGTTCAAGAGACTAAGTGAAAAGGACAAAGAGCGAAAGAACTAGGTGAAGGATACAAGTTGTGGTACGTAGGGAAAAGTAACACTAGAAATGTAGTTGGTATAATTGCTGATAGTGAAATGAAAGATAACCTCGTAAAAGTTGTAAGAACTAGTGATATAATAATGTCACTGAAAAATGTACTTGATAAAGAGGTATTTAATTGTGCGCTCCTCAAGCAAGGCTGGGTGAGAATAAAAGAATAGCATTCTATGATCAATTAGGAGACATATTGAGTGATATTCTAATCAGAAGAGAAAGTTATAATAGGAGGTGCTTTTAATGCACATGTGGGCCAATCCAAGGCAGGATATGAATCAATAGAGGATTAGGATTTAGAACTAGAAATGAAGCCAAAGATGATATGCTTGAATTACCAACAGCGTTAGGTATGGCCATTGTTAACACATTCTTTTAATAGAGAAACTCAAATTGTTACAAACAAAAGTGGAAAAAATCAATCCCAAATAGATTATTTCGTGACAAGAAAGGAAGATATACATGAATGTAATGACTGCAAGGTTAGTGAGACAGTAAACCAACAACATAAGTTGCTTGTACTGGACATCGAAGTTAAAAGCGAAACCATACCAAAATATCGAAGAGGACGACAAAAAATCAAGTAGTGGATGTTAAAAGATGAGAAAGAAGGTCTATTCAGGTCAAAAATGGTAGAAAAAATGTGTTGGAACATGAAAGAAAGTCCTAATACAATTTGAAGGAAGATGGCCAGTATCATTAGAGATACTGCTATTGAAATACTTGGAAAAACATCAGAAAAGAAGTTTGAGAATAGGAGACCTGGTGGTCCATCAAGTTAAAAAAAAAATAAGAGAGAAGATTATATAAGGGGCAAGAAAATAGGTCGAAGACAAATCTTCAAAACTATACGGTCGAAAAAAGGAAGCAAAAGTGGCAGTAGCTAAAGCTAAAGCAGAAACGTATAATAATCTATATGATCAACTTGATACCAGGGACGAAGAGGCCAATATTTATAAAATAGCCAAACATAGAACAAAGAAAGCAAAAGATTTTAATCAGATTAGATGTATCCAAGATGAAAATAGTAAAATACTAATTCATGAAAAGGATGTCAAAAGAGATGGAAAA